ATCTCATATTGTCACATTGGGTCGGTTCGAAGTGTTGGATGTTGCAAAAATTAAGGCTGTTACGGAATTTTGCAAAGGTCAGGTTCTGGTGCTGGTGCTGAGGCTTGGTTGAAATTCACCAACGACATTTCTGGCCAATAATAGTTTCACGTGACTTCGCGTTGTCCATTCACTTACACATGAGTTCACTACTCAAACAGTCCCTTGTCTTAACCTGCAAAAAAGTGAGCGCAGGAGATAAAATACAAAGAAATGGAACAAAAACCACACAAAAAAAAGCTTCATAGTCTTCCGCATCGGGGAATCGAACCCCGAGCTGCCGGGTAGAGGCTTTCTTAACTGAAAACCGGCGATGTTGACCGTTACACCAATGCGGATTGAACCAGATCCAACTGAAATTTGTGGCAATTGTGATACATTTTTGGAGGTACTATCAATATATATTTGAGTTGTGTGGACGCTATGTGGGGTTGGTGCAAACTGAATCGTCCTTCACTGAGCCGTGTGGCTTTTCAGCGCATTTTAGGTTAATAAGCGGCTGCTGTCTACGTCCACCGATACTACTGTACGGATGCCACTTTCGCAAGTGCGCATCTTCACTCAGGTTCTTCTTAAGTCTTCCTGTATGACAAACTATTCTTGAAGATGCATCATTGACATTGGGAAAGCCATCCGTCACAAATCATGGCAATTTGATTGTTAGACGACATACGATCGTACCTTACGTTAGCGGTCAGCAGCCTGAAGTAATATCCATCCGGGCACCCTTCTTTGTAATCCGTACATCCTACGAGTGCTCGTACAGTACTCCGTGAAAGAGGGACGGGATGGAACTGCTCGCAAGGTCTTTTGTTTGTTCCGGTCAAATCCCGCGGGTACCAACAGAGTAAAGTCAAACTCCATCTAATTACTCCATAATTGATGAGTATCGTCTTTTTTACTCTGCGAAAAAAGAATCCCACATGAGTCTCCGTGTGCTTACCAAACTTGGCCGCATTAAATTTAGATATCGAGGGAAACTTACCGCTCGGTCCAACTTGCAAGTCTTTCGTTGCGTTGCGTGGAAAGTTTCCACTCACAAGACCACGATCAAGCACAATATACAATAGTCCGAAGCCGCTAAATCCCTAAACAGTCTACCTCGACGGGTACCCAAGTAAGATATCTCAAATCATTCTACTCCGTACTGTAAGGATGCTCCGTACTTGACGTGCTTGAAGGGAACCAATGCACTCGTTAAAGTGGTACAATACTCGTACTCGTAGTAATAGCAGTATGACCGGCCGTTCCCCCAACGGTGACATTGAGCGGTCGTTTTCCAATGAGACGACACAATCTAATCATTGAGCCGCATCCGCCAGCGTGGCCCTTTGCTATAGCAGAGGTACATTACAATATGGTAGACTAATTACGCATGCGTGTAGGCGTGTACGTGTCGACGAGGCTGGGTGTGTGTGTGTGCGCGCGCGTACAACTCTACATTGATTCCAGACTCTTGACCTAATCAACAATAGTCACCAGTGATTCGACCTGAGTGATGAGTGGTGGTAGTCACAATCACAACTTCAACCAAAGAAATATTGTAGTTCATACCAAGAATATGGGTTACACTCCAGCCAAGGAAACAGGAGTCAACAGGGAGGTCTTCTCTCTCGTCTCAAGGGGGGGAAGAATGTTTTCGAATCGTTTCATGACTTATAGCGAACCACTACGGAGTACTCATACCGAACAACATCGGTTTGATCTCCTTTTTTGCCTTCCCATGCTACAGATCAATCCAGCTCGCAAGCCCACCCCCGGGAAACGTGCGGCACAGCCCCCCACCGAAGGGGGACTATCGAAGTACGTCCCGTAGCCAGTAAGGCTTAGCTAAGTCAGAACCCTTTTCTCTCAATTCCAACCCCTTTTCAGGGAACGCCATCGTGGTTTTGGACTGGCTCAATCGAGCCAAGCGAGTCCCTCAAAACGTTTCCAGTCTCGGATTCCAGTCGATGCGAGCCGACGGCGGTCCTATCATACAACAACCTACTACTTCTGTACAACTCCGTCTGAAGACGTCCCTAGTACCCCGTACTCGTGCGAGTATCCCATGTGTGTCCAGTCAGTGCACAAGTGTCCACACCCCTACTGGACTCACTTGCTCGTAACTCCGTTTGAATCTCTTCGAACGCGCCCGCCTTGACCCTAGCTAGTAACCACCACTACTACTGAAAGGGTCACCCAGGATCACACTGACCAAGGTCACATTCTCTTCTTCTGGGCAGTCTCCGACAGTTGACGTTTGGGACCTAAATTTGGCAAATCCAAAACGTCCACGTCCCCTGTACGTACAGGGCCGATATACGGAGTCACCTTTCCGGCCTAGGTAAGCACGTCCCCTTTAATTGCACGGGTATGGCAGAACAGAAGCTGTATATAAGTAGGTAGTCGTGTCTCCTTACAGAAAAAGAGATTCTCACGCCTCAAAAAAACCCAAATAAAATCGCACGCAGCACACAAACCTCCCATCATCTCCTTGCCTCTTGTGAACCCTGGTGGTCATTTTACGTTCCCCAAAGCTCCATTCTCAAAAGACAAACAAAACACAAACCTCACGACAACCACCACCACTTAAAAATAATCATCAACACCCTCAACCGAACCGAACAAAATGCATTCAGCAATCACTTCCGCCGCCTTCGTCCTTTCCGCCCTTACCTCGTCAGTCCTCGCGTCTCCTCAATACGGCGACTCGGGATCCTCCTCCACGATGAGCATGGGCATGTCTTCCGCGACGGCTTCCGCCTCTGGCTCCTCGTCCACCGGTATCCACAACGTCAAGGTCGGTCCTGGCCTGACCTTCACCCCGGACACTGTCCAGGCCGCCGTCGGGGACTGGGTCGAGTTCACCTTCGGACAAGGCCACTCGGTCGCCCAGAGTTCCTTCGCCGCGCCCTGCGTGCCCACGGAGAACGGTTCGGCCGTCTACTCTGGCTTCCCCGACGACGGACAAGTCTGGCGCATCCAGATCAACAGCACCGATCCTCTGTGGCTGTACTGCTCCGCCAGTGGCCACTGTGAGGGCGGTATGGCCATGGTCGTGAACCCACCGTAAGTCCTCGGCTTCTCCCAACCCAAACTTGGGGACTTTTGCTGGTTCATATGCTGACTGCATGACACAGAAACAGCGCAAACACCCTCGACGCGTACAAGTCGGCCGCTCAAAACGCCCAAGGCTCGTCACCTGCCACGGTCCAAGGTGGTGTCTTTGGTGCCGCCACCGCCAATGGCTCATCCACCACGTCTGGCAGTGGATCGACCACCTCTGCATCGGCCACTGGCTCGGGTTCTAGCGCGTCCACTACCGCCGGCAACGGAGCCGGATCTGTATCTGTCAAGAATGGACTCTTGCTCGCAGGTGCCATTGCTGCTGGTGTTGCTGCTGTTTTGTAGTGACAGAAAAATTTGCTTAGTTGTTTTGAGGTACTTATTCTTTTGGGAGTGTGAGACGGCCTGGAGCATATTTTATTAGATCTGTGCAGCATGATTTATTCAATGAATCAGAATATGCATATTTGCGTGCAAAACTTTTATCATCTGAAAAAAGAGAAATGTGATGTCTTGCTCGATTGTTTCACTCGTAGAGTGTGTATGAAGGACAACATGCTGCTAAATTCTGTTAAATTTGCCGAAAGGTGATGACACAGCAAATGATTGCATTCGTCAGTACTCTGTAGAAATGAGCCTTCTCAACGTCTTTGAATGATAGAGAGAGAGAGAGAATGTTGGTGTAGACGAAGTAAAGATACAAGTGGGTGGTAGATTGTCAGCGTAATCGACGAGGCTGAAAGAACAACCACGAGGCTGCGCCAAGCGTATTCTGATTCCCCACACTCCTCTACAAGTTACTGGTGCGGTATCTCCAAGCGTACTTGTAGGTACTCAGTTCTACGTTACATACTCATAAAACCACAAAAATATAGACAAACGACGCAGCTCCCCGTTTGTGAGAGGGACTGACAGTGTCTAAATCGCCAGACTATTGAATTTCCTGGCGCCCACCATGTCTCACGCTCGAGTGGAAGAGCTGTCCGACTCGGATCCAGACATCGAAGACCCCTCCGACTTTCTCCCACAATCAGACAACCAGATCCTGCGCCCTGCAGCAGCCGCTGCCCCGACTCAACGCTCGTCATCCTCGACCTCTTCCTCCTCGAAACCATCGCCTGTACCTTCAGGCACCCCCAACCCGACCCTCTTCCGCCCTCCACCTCCGACACCGCAGACGCAACAGCAGCAACAACAAACCAGAGAGAGCATCAAGACCTACCAATGCCTCTACCCGATCTACTTTGACAGCACGCGGACCAAGGCTCAGGGCCGGCGGGTGGGATCTAAGCTCGCCGTTCCCAACCCTCTGGCCTACAACCTGGTCATGGCCGCTCGAGACACTCTGGGCAGTACGGCGCTGCACGTCGCCTTCGAGCCGGACAAGACGCACCCCAAGGATTGGGCGAACCCGGGTCGGGTGAGGATTCAGCTGTTCGACAAGGACACACGGAGGCCCCTTCACCCTCAGATCAAAAACAAGGCTCACTTATACAGGGTGATTGGACAGTGGCTGAAGGACCACCCGACCTCCAAGGAAGACCCTCTCGAGTTGAGGATCCAAGGGTTGCCGGTCCCCGAGAATTTTGGCAAAGAAGAAATCCCAAAACCCAGAGGTTGGAAGATGGGTACGATCTTGCCCGTCCACTCTCCGGCCGTCAGTGGCGGGGGTGTGAGGGACGATTTCTTTAAAGAGGCGATGGAGGAAATGAGACAGGCTCAAAGTGCGGGTCAATTACCTGGTGGCGCTGGTGGTGGTATGCCTGGTATGCCCGGCGGCGGTGGTATGCCGGACATGGCTGCCCTACAGAACATGATGAGTAGTATGGGTGGCATGGGAGGAATGCCTGGCCTCGGCGGAGGAGGAGGAGATTCAAGTGGCGGTGGTGGAAAGAAGAAAAAGGACAAGAAAAAGGGTTGATTCTGGCCAAAAAACAAAGCTGAAACGCATGACCGCACGACCCAAAAGGAAAACCAATATCAGTTGTTTGCATCACTTCCTTTGTCTCGGGGGAGATGGTTCGCCGTAGACTGTAAGCAAGTGTACCAGTAGGAAGACCTCCTTTATCTTCTCTAGAGTGCTCACCATGCCTGTCTCCATCCTCGAAGAAGATCCCTTGTTTAGATGTGATGTTATTTCTTTTCTAGCTCATGCTTAATGACGAACGTGACTTTTATGCTGAATCTATTCATCTGATCATGGACATGACTTGATCAACACCATTGTTATCTATGCTTACTATGTACTTTGGAGATGTTGTTTTTTGGAAGTGATTAGAAGACTGACATACGCGCGAAGATGTTAAATTTGAAAAAGAACGGGGAAAAGAGGAAAAACGATATACTTTGTGGAAAGAAGTAAAATGAAGATCTGGTATATATTAAAATTTTATATTTGATTATGTGTATGTATATAACTGAGTGTTTGTAATTCAGCGAGGGCCATCATGCCCTGCCGTTGTTTTTTTTTGGTTTGTTTGTATTTTATATACTATTTTTTTCGCCTGTACGGCCAACAGCTCGACACCGTAGATCATGATCTTTGTGGTGACACATGAACTTTCGTATATATTACTTGCATTTGCACTTGCACTTTTGTTTTCTTGTGCTGAAATGAGAACACTCCAAGACGTCCCTCGAAAAAGAGAGGAAAAACCCATTCCCAAGAAATTTCCCTACATATCCTTTCATTCCTTCCTTAAACCTTGTGTGGGGTTTTGGTTTCCGTAAAACGTGTCGTCGTCGTTGTTGTTATTAGTCGACGTTGATCTTGACGTACTCGCCTTCATCGTCCGACCCTTCTTTTTCCCAATCACTCATATGTTCTTCTTTTCCTTCATGAGCGTCGGTAGTAGTAGCCGCGGCCTCGTAACGAGGTAGAGTCTCGACCGTCTCGTTTGGGTGTTCAAAATCCAAAGTCGTAGAACGTTCGCGTTCCGCCTCGGCTTCCTTGCGCTTGCCGTTGGCATTGTTGCTACTGCTCATGGATGCCTTGGCAGGGTACGGCTGGACAGGGGGGGAGTTTGGTAGGTCCGTGTACGCGTCTTGCATCATTTGGTCATCTTCCCCTTGTTGTTCCTCGGCGTCAAAAAGAAGATCTCTCTCGTTGTCGTTGTTGTAGATATCCTCGGGATTCTCGACTGGAATCTCCGGCGAGGACGAGGCGACGTTGACCGATTTGCGCTCAAAGGCTTTGTCGACCTTTGGCACGCGGACGACGAGGACACCGTCGACCATTTTCGCGGTAATGCCTTGGACGTCGACCTTGGCGGGGTCTCTGGGAGTTCCGAGGCGGATGTTCTTTTCGAAAACTCCCGTCTCACGCTTTCTGCCGTCCACAACCAACTTGGTCATCATCTCCTCGTCGACACCGGGTCTGTGAACGACGCCAGTGATCCGGAGGGCCGAGTGTTCACCGTCATACTCGACGCCCAAGTCGGTCTTCTTGGCGCCAGGAAGTGAGAGGTGCATAACATACTCGTTGTCGGTTTCGAAAATGTCAGTTCTTGGTTCGAAGTCGGTGTCTCCCGACTGGGGCGACTTGAGACCCAAGCCTTCAGCGGCCGTGGAAAGATCGACGCCAATACGTTCTCCCAGATTGTTGAGGAAGGCGTTCAAGTCGAACCCTCCAGTGCGACCGTGGTGAGGATCAAATAGGGGGCCACCTCGTGAGTGGGGACCATGCGGATGGGGACCATGCGGATGGGGACCATGCGGATGGGGACCATGAGGGTGATGATGATGTCCTCCTCGGCCACCGCGAGGACCGCCGCCCATGCCCCTTCCCATTCCCATGCCCATGCCCATAAATCCACCTGGACCGCCAGGATATCCCGGAATGGGACCCCTGCTGCCCGCAGCCATGAATGGTGGAGGACCGAAAGTAGGACCGTTTCTCCAAGGGCCTCCAGGGGGCCCTCGGTTACGCCACCACCTGCCACCGAAAGGGGTCCAGTTGGTGTTGGTGTTGGGGTTGTTGTCTTTGTTTCTGTCGGTGTCGCTGGAGCTGGAACAAGAACTTGAGCTCGAGGAAGAGCTTCGACTGCGGCGTCGACCTTTGCCGTGGCGACGATGGTGGTGATGGTGATGATGAGGTCGACCGTGACGGTTCTTAGCACGGCCAGGGCAGCCATTGTTGTCGTTGGTTTCGTTGCTGTTTTCGGCCTGGAAGGCATTTTCAAATCGTCCACGGCCACGGAACGGCATGCCTTGTTCGGATCGGACGGTAGAGGGATCAACCTCTGGTGGATCCTCGACATTCACATCGGCTTGCTTGCTTTTGGCATTGCCACTCGCCTCCGCCGCGGCAGCAGAGGCTGTATCCGGTGGCGGTCGAGTTTGTTCTCCGCCAGGTCGTTGAGGTCTAGCTGGAGGAGGAACGTTTTGGCCACGTTGAGCGAAGAAAGGGTGGTCTTCGAGACCGGCCACAAAGTCCCAGAAGGGATTTGGTGGCGGATTGAGGTAATAGATGGGAGGCATTGTTTGAATAGAGGTAGAGATGAATAGATGGATAGAAAGGAAAGGGAAGTTCTCGTTCAAGCCACAAGAGAAGGGATGCAGACCTTATACCATGACTCCCCGCGATTAGGCAAACGTGTTTCCTCAGCGAGTGTCAAGACAAAGAGGCAACCAAGCAACGAATCAGACTCACCTAGAGACGAGGCGAGAAGGTGCTCGAACCGGGGGGATACCACACTACTATACACGAGTGACGATGGGATTGGGTGAAATCATACAAGGCAAGACTGTAGCCACGCGGCCAGGGCCGTCACTATTTCACACATCATGATTTGAAGTTGTGGTGGTGGTTGTCGTTATTGCTTGGTGCCTGGACGGGGGAGGCGAAAGTGGCAAGGAGTGTGTTCGCCTCGGGCCTTGCGGAGTATGAGAGGAATCGGGGAAATCTAATGTCCGGACCGAGCGAGTTCACATGTTTGAACTTCACGGGGCCGACAGATTTTCATATTCCGACACCTACGGGCCGCAATCCGAGGCCCCATGCAGGTTTTCAACAGGACCAAAAAAATGAAAAATTAACAAAAAAAAATTAACTCACGACGAATATCATGATAATGATGATCAGAGTGGGATTCGAACCCACGCGGTTTTACCCACAAGTAGGACTTCTTTGAACCCAAGAAGCTGTTGCTTCAGGTGTACCTGAAACTTGCGCCATAGACCACTCGGCCATCTGACCGTCAATTGGCTTAATATCTCGCCATGATTTAGGAGACAAAATTTGGGGCGAAAACTTATGATGTTTTCGCTTTTTCTCACTGTTCAGCATATCATTGTGGCTTTCTTCTCGCCGACTCGAGGACCTCACTTACATTATTAACTCTAAATGACTTAATGAAAAGCCACAACAAGTGTATACCATGAATTATGTCTATTCTGCTATCTACTCCGTGGTTGTGCTAATCATCCTGGTGTAAGTTTCGAGTTTACGCCCGTCCTCCATTGGTAGCCAAAATCCAGGAGAGTCATCGCTCCAGTGACACAATCTTAATCTCTGTAGCCACTGAGTGGAAGAATCCACAATTTCGTAGACCGTCGGGTATGATACATGGGAGTTCAGAGACAATAAAGTCAAGTTCCTTGCAAATCTTCACAAAGTTTGCAAAAGTGTCGCTTCGTATCGTGGCGGAGATCAATATCTTTGTTTCGGGAAATGCGTCTTTTAGGGTCTTTAAGAGTTCGGCCAGAGGTCGCAGTATATCCGGATGATACGTGATATCTGCACCTACGATCAGACCGTAGCGTACACCAGACTGGTTGGCTTCCCTCAACAGTCGATCGATCTCCAATCCGTCCGTCCAGTCTAGTTGACGGACCTCGGGTGGAGTGTGGTCGTCCAGTGTGCCGTTCTCGACGTTGAGATCGACATTGTTCTGGAGACTTTCGCAGACGTGGCCGAGACCGTCGGTCGCCAGGACACCTGAGGCTTCGAGATGTCCGGCACAAAGAAGGGACAGAAGACCTGTCCCGGCTCCCAGTTCGAGCACGCCTTGACGCCGTACGAGGTCCGGTCGCTCGACGGTCAGATACCACGCCAGATGTAGAGCCGCTTCCCACGTCCGGAGGCCGACATTGTTGCCTCTCGAGAGAAGGTTGCGCGCCTCCTTGATCAAGACCGGCCGGACGCCGTGCCGGTCGAGCGGCAACGGTGGAAAGTACGAGTGAACGTGCAGCTCTTGAGCTTCGTCAGACTCGTCTTGTTGCGGGATCGTCGTCAGGTAAGCCATATGCTCCATCAGCTGATCGGATACTTGCTGTGGTGGATTCAAAAAAGAAAAGTCAGTAGTTCGATGCTTGATTACAGGGCAGCCGCGCTTGAAAAACAAAACAAAACACCATCATGGACAGGGAGACAAGATGACGAGCAGCAGCTAGAGCAGCAATCGGAGCAAAATATAAAAGCCTACATCTTCTTCGGGGTCTTTGCATGACCTTTCGATCTCTTGAATGATATGCTTCAAGATTCTGGCCTGGTACCGAACAGGTGGTAGGAATTTGTTCTGCTTGACGTCGAAGAAATACTTGAACAAACAATCCTGGACATCTTGGTTGACGAGAAGACTTCCGGGAGGATAATTGACATCGTTGATCACCTGCATGTATTGACGATAGAATTTGACCATCACAGGCTCGGTGCCCGCCTTGGTGATGTCCATGGTCCTTTTACACGTTTCGTGCAACTCGCGTGGAGTGGTTTGGAGGTGCAAAGATCCAGTCCACGTACGCAACAATATATGGTGCTGCGGCAAGCTTGTCGACTTGGTCCAGCATCTGGATTTTCTCCTCGAAAGAAGTACCGGAAAAGATCTCACACAATTCTAGGCATATTCGTAACAAAGCCCTTCGAAGAACAATTTTCCATGTCCAGTCCCCAGTCCTGCCTGTAGAAATCATTCTCGGCCACATCTGGACTAGCGCACTTCCCGCCAAGTTTTCGCCAAGAAGCTCACACAATCTCTTTTGGACAGTGAACCCAAGAAGCCTTCGACGACCTCACCCAGGCGCAGTCAAAAAGATCACCCTCGAAACCACCTCAACCGCACCTTCGACGGTCTTTTCAATTCCTTCCTTTGATTGCGAGTCATCCTCTCGTCTCACACACACAGATCCGCAATCATGGCCGACTCACCTGTCACCATTCGAACTCGCAAGTTCATCACCAACAGACTTCTCTCGCGCAAGCAGATGGTTGTGTATGTGAAAAAAAAGCCCTCGTCCCTTGCCACTTTCTGTTGTGCTCAAACCTCCATTGCTCGTTTTTGCGCTGTTGCTACTACTGCACTACAACGGACCCCCCATGAGAATAGCGTTTCCTGACATGTGTAACTTCATACAGTGATGTCCTGCACCCCAACCGACCCAACGTCTCCAAGGACGACCTCCGCGCGAAACTCGCCGAAGTGTACAAGTCCAACAAGGACCAAATCAACGTGTTCGGCATGCGGACGCAGTACGGTGGTGGCAAGTCCACCGGGTTCGCCCTGATCTACGACTCGGTCGAGGCCATGAAGAAGTTCGAACCCTACTACAGACTCGTTCGTGTCGGCCACGCCACCAAGATCGAAAAGGCCAGCAGACAACAGCGGAAACAGCGCAAGAATCGATCCAAGGAGTTCCGAGGCACAGCCAAGACGAAGGGTGCTAAGAAGGACAAGAAATAAACGTGAAGATTTTCGTCGGGGCGGTGGTGATGATGTTATCCTCGTGCCGTGGGGTGTGGATGCGGATGTGGACGTGGACGGCGGGTGTAGGACAGAGGGACGAGGTGAAAAAAATTTTGCCCTTAGTGTGTGCATCGGAGGCGTTTCCTTAGTCCGCATCTTGTTTTCAAGCGGTACGAGGTGTGTCGACGAGCCCAAAATGTGACCGGGCCATCATTTTCCAAAACGCAAAAAACGAAGGGAGGGCCGAGTCACATTGGAACTGAAAGCAAATCTCGCATGTGGCTAGGACAATTGTGCATTGAACAGTTTCAACGATGGGCAAACGGCGCATGAGATCGATAATGCTTTGAAATGAAACAGCAAATGTGAATCACAAACGAGCCTTCAAAACAGACTTGGAGTCGTCGTGGTCATGAAATTCCTGTTTCTATGTATTCTGCTTTTGATGATGCTAGCTTCGTGAACAGTTGCGCCTGACTGGGCTATTGTTACAACTTAGCTGGCGCCGATTCCATGCCCATCGCCCATCCCTCTGGAAGACTCTCACACCAAAAGTCAACCGAAGCCGATGATTCCGTGTACCAGCTAGGCAAAGGTTGAGTGACAGAGCAATCAAACAAACAACAACAAAAAAACGCAGTGCTCCGCCGCTGATGGGAACATATTAGCTTCCAGATGTCCGTAAGAGATGCTTTTCCCATGACCAGAGTCTCCCGATAACACCATTTGCAAAGAGAGACAGAACAACCATGCATACAGCCACTCCAGAATAGTCAAGGTCACAATGGCAATATTGAAGCCAATTATTTCCGTCCTAATAACGAGCCCGAAAGAAATTCCTCTCAAGTACTACAGTCGTTGTAGTCTTGTGTCTCTTGATCTGTAGCCTCAGCCACGTAGCACCCACTAGGCATATGAACCAATGTTGCGATGCACTCGAGACGGAATCCCAAAACTAGAACCAAGTTGATGTGTCAATCACGTCATAGTACAACGTTTGTATAGAAAACAACTGAAGAACAAATCCGCCAAATGAGATGATAGGTGATTCGCTCAGTATCCAGACGACACATTGCTGATGGTAGCGATTGAGCCTCGAGTGGAGTCCATTGGGCATCCTGAGGAGTCTGGGCTGCAACCTTCCGGCACGGATTCTGGTCGTGTCACGAGTGGTTGGGAGCGACAATACAATGCCCCGTTTGAGAGCTGACTTGAGGTCGTCCTCACTTGGGAACTGCGACCTGTCATCAGTGCCGTGTAACCATACGTGACGGACGTGTTGTCTGAGTGGGATTTTGGACTTTCTCGGGACGCCTGCATACGGGATTGATGAGCTTGCAAGCCTTCAGCAGAGACGACAGGAGGAGATGTATGTGGCACATCAGCAGTGAGAGAGAGTCCAATGGGTAAGATATCTGTAGAAAGGCTGTCGCCCAAGGCCATGTGGCTGTATGACATGTCATGCAAGCTGTAAGATGCGTTCCTCCTATCATCGAGATGCTCTTGGCTTGCATCGCTGTCGACTTGAGATGGAAGATGTTGAGTAGAAGCAACAGAGTCTGGAGACCAGTATATTGAGCTTCTTTGGGTCGATGCAGAATTTGGAACGCTATCCAGTGAGCTTCCGTGCGTTGAACTTGTGCCACGGGCAGAAAATGGGGTGGGTAGAATACGATCGGAGGATAGACTGCCAAGTGCTACGGTCGCAGCATATGACTGTTGAGGTTCTGAGACAACTGTGAATGCTGGATTTGACAGAGACAGAGAAGTATTTTGCTGTGGAAGACAATTTTGCTGCTCAGACCAAAGCGTACCAGGGTGTGGGCGGACATTCTGAGTATGAACATAATAGCCACTTGCAGATGACATTGGATCAGTGTTAGGAAGGATATAAGGAGGAGGATGGGACGTGTATGGGCTCCGTTCTTCGTCATCGGGATATGGAGAGTATGTTCCAATATAGGGTGCTTTGGTCCAGTCAACACCGGGGTTTGATGTTCCATAAGGAGCGTATTCAATGTTCGAGTGAACAGTTGGATAAGTCACGGAGGTTTGTTGAGTGTATCTTGAGGATGAGGGTACATATTCAGGACGGTGTGACGAAGGCACCGAATAAGGCGAATATCGGAGAGGTGAATGCCAGCCTCGCAGACTGAAAGAGCCCACATCGGCCGAAGAAACCTGGAATGATTATATTAGAGTGAGGTGCGGCGAGATAGGGATTGACTTACTCGCAAGAAGCGACAGGAATCACCGTGCCCGGCATTTCTACAGTTTGCACAACTCTGGTTGTCTCCTTCGTTCCCGCTACACTTGATTTTGCGCTTGCGGCATCGTTCGCACTATCCATGGTCAGCTCAAACAACAAAAGTGCTTTACCGGATACATCAAACATACTGCAACTGGAACACGCTTTCTCGGCCCACCTGTTGTTCTGTTGTCTGGTTCCGAAGATGGGGTAGTCCGGTTGCTCAGATGTCCTGAGGGCTCATGATAGTCCTGGATATGATGGATT